CACACACACACACACACACACACACACACACACACACACACACACACAAAGCTCTTTGTTAAGAACCTCAAGTCAACTCTGAATGGCAGAGGAATTGTGGAGGTGTTAACAAAAGAGAATAGCTTCCTTGTTTAAAATGTTTTAGACTTTGTTGTATTTTGGAGAATAAGCTCACAGCAACAAAAATGCCTGTGCTGTCCAAGCTGTGTGTGCCTCTGTGTTAATTTGAGATGCTGAGACCTCTCACAGCAGCAGGACTGACTGCAGTCCAACCAAATGCAGTGAAATAAGAGAGGGGGGGCTGCGTTACCTCTCCACCGTGCCCGTCGAAGATCGCGAATATGGACGGGTGGCTCTTGTTGGTGATGTCGGTGAGCACCTCGAAGCGGTCCTCCATGTGGTCCCTCCTGCCCTGTATGGAGTACACGGCCACGTTGTTGTTCTTGAACTCCCACGTCTTGGAGAACTCCGCGTCCAGGACGCTGAGGCCTCCGAGACGGTCGTTCTGCATCATCTCCGCCACTTTCCCCTTCACCATCTTCACGGCATCCCTGCTGGACTTGACGATGGTCTTCACCTCGTCGGTGTGGAAGAAATAACTCCACAGCGCCAGACTGATGCACAGAAGGAACAACGTTTCCGGCCTGAGGAGAAAATAGCGCATGATCCGACCCAGAAGAGACAAGAGCGTCATTGTGTCTCCTATCATCACACGCAACCAAACTGCAGTCTTGACTCTCCTCCCTTTTTTTTTTTTTTTAAGTACACTTCACTCCATTCGCTTTGCGGGACAATGATGAATTAAAAAAATCGATTTACTATCAAGATGGAGGACAAAAACATTAAAACGCTCCTCCGGGTGCTGCTTTTGTCTCCGAGCGCATTTACGCACAGCTCGTTTGGCTGAGGAGCGCGCTGAGTCAGTGTCTGTCCGATGTCTTGGTCCTATCCTCGGATCTCTGAACAGCTGCAGGAGGATTGTTCCAAGTACTGAGCCGATCTTCCACAACCCATTGTAGAATGAGAGATTCTGGGGTTCAGACCCGCGCCGAGTAGAGACACATAGTCAAGATGAGTCCACCTTCACCGCAGTTGACCTCTTTTCTTATGTGTCTATCCAGCCTCCGCATCAATAACATATTTTTCCACACACACACGCTTCCATTCTTGTTGTGTCAAATATTCAGTTCACAACCAGGACAGGAATCGGAAGCGAGACATGTTTGACCCAATAAGGCAAAAAAAAGTAAAAGCAAAATATGGACTATATGTGGGAATTACTTTTATTTTGAAATGCATTAAAGGAAATGTCTCGTTTGGTAGGCAACTTGACCCCTGCTCCATTGTGTCGGTGCTGACAGGAGTGCGCAGCTGCAAACTCGAGTGTAACGCTAAACTAATGGCTGTGACTGCGGAATTAAAATATGACGTCATCCAGCAGGTTAGCCTGTATATAATCAGAGCCCATCCTCAAATAATCAGATTAAATCTACAGATAATGAACCTACCAGTAAAGCTGAGACATTTCATTGTCTGCATTGCCTGTTAGTTTGAACCTGAAATAAGATACAGTAATATAATATAATATAATATAATATAATATAATATAATATAATATAATATAATATAATATAATATAATATAATATAATATAATATAATATCATATCATATCATATCATATCATATCATATCATATCGTATACAGTGACATTATATTATATGTGTAGTCCGTGTAAACACTAAATGAAAATTAAATAGATTAGTAAATAAATGCAGACAGTAATAGCCATTTTAGTCTCTAAAATATTTCTTTAATTTGTTCATCTTTACCTATCTTTGAAATAAGGAAGAACCATATATATATATATATATATATATATATATATACAACAATCTATAACAAAAGTTGAAACACTTTTTAAAACTACCATACCCACTTCTTCCTTTTCGGGTCGTGGGGGTCACTGGTGCCCATATCCAGTCATCACTGTGCGAGAGGTGGACCCTGGACAGGTCTCCATCCATCACAGGGACAGAGACAAACGAGACAAACAACCATTCATTCTCTCACTCACACCCAGTGACATTTAGAGTTACCAGTCAGCCTAACAAGCGTGTTTTTGGTCTGTGGGAGGAAACCAGAGCGCCCAGAGAAAACTCACGCATGCATGGAGAGAACATGCAAACTCCACCCATGAAGGTCCCTTGCCGGGATCTGTATGGCATGGTTGCCATAGATTTGAACCGGGGCGACCTGCTTGCTGAGGGGTGGCCACTCTACCAACTGGTCACCATGCTGCCATTTCATTTAAAATAAAAATCAAATTTCCGTAGTGTAAATTTGTACCTGTAGTCATTGCAAAATGGGTTCCCAAATTAATGTCATAAAGCTTTAACAGATTTTAGTGAACCATTGTTTTTAATGAGGGATCTGAAATCACTGATCACAATAAGGCATCACTAAGTTAGTGACCATTGTTACCAGTAGATAAAGTATGAACCACATTGTTTGTCGCTGTTTAAGAGAGCAAATAAAACACAGTACTGTAACTTCAATGTTTTACTTGCAATGAAACTCTAACTAACTTGCTGAAGAGCCTGAAATATTTGCGAGTGCAATTTGCTGTTGCTGTCAGCAAATGGTCGGCACACATTGTGAGACATGAGCTTTTTTCATTGATGCTAGGTTCAATTATTGGGTTCACTGCACTTTTTTAGGTGTGTGAGATCAAGGAGATATATGGTTGGATCAGTGTTGCCATGCCTCCTGTTTGAAGACATTGATCTTCCTCCCACTGGGTGTATGGTGAACCATTTTTCTACTTTGAGGTGCAGCCAAACGGTGTGATTTGTACCATTGTACAACTTTCAAGTAGACGTTATTCATTCCTAACAATGGGTTTATGTTTTTAGACAGAATGTGCCTGAGCATAGTTATCATTGTAACAGGATTTTTTTTTTTTACTGTTTGTGAAAAAGCAATTTTGTGTATAGGTGACATTTTAGCAGTATATGCCATTTATTTATATGCCAGACAAAGAAGAAAGTCTTTCTTTGTATGCAATCCGCTTTATTCCATATCCCTCGAGAGTCACACAATCTGTTCTAGCCCGTCTACTTACCTCCTGATAACCCCCAAGTGTTTTCTCTTATTTGTTCTTCCATTGGTTTGAAGGTGCTTGAGTTGAACTATAAGAGCAATAAAAAGACGGTTGAGAACAGCACTGGTCTCCACTTGGATGGTGTGGAGTGAAGAACCAACACCATTGGTATCAGAAGGTAAAAGATTTGTTCCTTTCTTTAAATACATTTTTATATCAAATGAAGCTTTCTAAAATGCAAGAAAATGGTAATATATGGTTTAATTTAAAATTCTAATTGACAGACACAAGTAAATGAAAAGTAATTTTGAACCAACTCAACCACTAAGTGATAAACAACATAGAATCTTGATTGTATGGATATCTACATGTTTTTTTTTTACATCCACCTCTTTTAAATTTAATATTTTATAATGTGACAATAGAACTGATGGTTGCAGATTTTTTTTTTATTTTAAATCTGTGTTATGTGAACTTTATTTCTCCCATTGCACCATTCATTTTCATTAAAGGATGAGTTTCATTAGTAAAAGACCAATCCTTTATCTTTTTCCTTCAGATTAATGTTCCTTCAGTATGTCACCCTCTGATCTTTTCATCCTGACCATCCTCTTCATGACCCCAATGGTTGTCCTAGCTTCTGGTGCCAAAACCCCACATATGCCCAAACTCCAGAGCACAGACAAGCCACCGCTAGCTGAGAGCAGTGAAGTAGGTGGAAATAGAAAGTTTGGACGGATTGGCAACCCAACCCCATCCCCTTCCAGCAGTCCATACACAGAAGATACTACAGATCTTATGATGGACGCATACTCTTTGTCCCCAACAAACAGCAGCACGTACCAAATCGACACATACCCAAATGAATTCCACACAGGTGCAATAGGCCTGCCCGAAAAAAATGGAAGCTACTCTCTTGACTACAGTGAATGCTTCTACAACTTCTGTGAGTGCTGTCCACCAGAAAAAGGCCCCGTGGGGCCTCCTGGAGAAAAAGGATCACAGGGACTACCTGGAGAAAACGGCCTTCCCGGTAACATAGATGGTATTGTTGGAAAAATATATTAAAGGTGGTAAAAATGTATCATTTTATCTGTAATTCTTGATTTTTTAGGGCTGCCAGGAGAAAAGGGAGAAATTGGATCTCCGGGATCAGCTGGACTACCTGGAGCAAAGGGACCTAATGGCAGCAAAGGTACGACACAAACTAACAGCAGGAGACCCAACAAAGTTCAGTCAGGTCATCTGGACAGTTTCTTTTTTTTAGATTTTGTTGAGACATTTCAGCCTTCATCCAAAGGACTTCATCAGTCCGAGGAGCCGCAACAAACTGAGTCCCACAATCAGCAAACCCACTGTGGACCAACCATTTGCTGGTGATAAGATAAAATAAGAAGACAGCAAACTGGTTGGTCCACTATGTGAGCGTGCTGCTTGTGGGACTCAGTTTGTTGTTACTCCTCAGACTGATGACGTCCTTTGGATGAAAGACAGAACATTTCAACAAAAAAAATGGAACTGTCCAGATGACCCAACTGAACTTTGTTGGATTTTCTATCAGAATACTGAGCATGAACTTTGATGTTTTAACAGCATAAGACATTTTTCAAGGTCTCCTTCAACATTCCTCTGTTTTGGCTGAATTTTGTTCTGTGCCATTATTCTAATTTCTCCAGGTATTTATGTTTTATCCCAACTTCACAGGTGAAAAAGGTGATCAAGGCCCTATAAGTCCACCTGGGGCCCCAGGGATTCCAGGGAAACCTGGAGAAAAAGGTATGTAGTTTGTTACAAATTTTACAACTGAACACAAACACATCTGATTGCGTTTAAAATTTTTAAAAAGCATTCTGTTAATAAATAATTCTCTTTTGTACACAATGTCTTATGTAGGTGATCTGGGTCCCAAAGGAGACAAAGGTGAACATGGCTTCAGTGGGATGAAAGGGGACCCAGGAGAAAAAGGACAGTCTGGTTTGAATGGGACTAAGGGCAGTACTGGGTCCATGGGCCCTCCAGGGATAGTTGGAACAAAAGGCCAGAAAGGTGAACAAGGGTTTTCAGGTGAATGTTTTATGGGTCAGAAAGGAGAGAAAGGTGACGTGGGTGATCATGGGCTCCCTGGTCCACAAGGTGAGATGGGCCCTCCAGGAGCCAATGGAACTGAAGGTGCAAAGGGAGAAAAGGGGGCACCAGGAGTGAAGGGGGATGCCGGTGTGAGAGGACCACCAGGTCTAAGGGGTTTGGCAGGCATGAGGGGAGAGAAGGGACCAAAAGGTGCACGTGGCCTTCGGGGCCCTAAAGGCTTTCCAGGTGAGAGTTTGGAACAGGCTCATTCAGCTTTCAGTGTGGGGTTGTTCCCCAGCAAGTCATTCCCCCCACCTGGCCTGCCTGTGAAGTTTGATAAGGTGTTTTACAATGGGGAGGGCCACTGGGACCCGGAGGTTCATAAGTTCAACGTCTCATACTCGGGAGTCTACGTTTTCACTTATCACATAACTGTGCGCAACCGACCTTTGCGTGCCGCCTTGGTGGTCAACGGGATACGGAAGGCGAGGACACGAGATTCGCTTTACGGCCAGGACATCGATCAGGCGTCCAACTTTGTGCTGCTGCAGCTGAGTGAGGGGGACCAGGTGTGGCTGGAGACACTGAGGGACTGGAACGGAGTTTATTCCAGCAGCGAGGATGACAGCACTTTCTCTGGCTTCCTGCTATATCCAGACCCAAAGACAAAAGCTGAAGTTTTGAAAAGACGTGTAAATGTCTCTGCTACTTAACTAACCTTTTAGCTGTTTCTAGATGCTGAACCCCCCCCCCCCCCCGCCCCCCCCCCCCCCCCCCCCCCCCCCCACC